TCATCATCAGTTTCATTCTGGGACCGACTGCAAAGTTTTTGGAAATCCCCCCACGCCCATTCCGGACACGGAAGACGGGGGAAATTGCCCACCAGATCGTGCCACCGGCAGTGTAAATGTTGATCACGATGGACAGACATCAGTCGCCTCAATATCCGATTGGATGGACTAGCAGGAGGGTGAAATACCCACAAGAGCTTGCCCACTACGGAATTCGACGCTAGCCTGACAATTGAGCAGCAACTGCTTTTGAATTATGTTTTCGACAATGTAGGTGATCGTCTCTGGGTATAAGTTCTGGCAAGAAACCTTGGGCCTGATATGCCTTCTCACATCGAACCCCCTGCATTCATCAGACAAACGACCCACTGCTATTTACCCCCTCCTTCCTTACTTTGCTGAGCGGCAATCATGTTCCACCCAAATTATCTTGGCCCACAAGACTGCCTTGTCCGAACGTCAACCTCAATGGAGGCTTGGCAAGGTCCGCCTCAGGATGCCTGCAGCACACATGTAGATGGTAATTATTAGACTTCCCACGGTGTTGGCAGAGTTAGCTGGCCAAGAAACTGACTTAGTCCGAAGGAACACTAGACTTTCGTTCATACATCTCTTCGACCAACGATAGTAGAAGTTGGGCATACGCTTTGCCGTTACCCAGCATCGATTCACCACAATGGGACCCTTCTCAAAGGGAAATGCTAGCGCCGCTGCATCTCCATAACAGGAGACTTGAAGAATATGGACACGACTTCTCGAGGCCACGTGTTTTATCTATGCCCGAATACGAAACACCCATCCATCACGATGGCTATGGACAAACGGAAAGACGTCCGCAGATCATTACAGGCCTCGGGAGGCATAGGTCTGACCCACGGCTAAACTCGGAGGCGATTTTCGACCAGCCGGCAAGCAGATACTACAAAACATCCCCAGATGTCAATGTCGACAATGTCTCGCAGATGTCAGACTTGTCCCCATGCCCGCTGATGGAGTATGAGTCAAATACCGGTCGCGGTGCCGTGAACTTGTACCCAAGACCATCGCCGACTCGTCATCGACACCGATCTCACTCAGTGGCAGAGGATCCCAGATCCCCGCCTCGAGATCGTAAATATCTTTTTGTCAACCGAACCGTCAAGGATGGGAAGTTGATTTCAAGGGGAGTGCAAGCTTCGGGCTCCTGGAAGACAATAGACCGGCGGAAAAAGGCAGCACGTGACGATGAAAGACGAGTTGCCAAGGCTACGACAGAGGCGATCTCGAGTTTGAGAGACCACTTGGGAAGGATGCTTGGAATGGGACTTTCATTTTCGGATTTGATGGAAGAATTAGGTCGAGAAGCTCAGAAGACTCAGATATCTTCATAGCGTTTCTGTAATGACAAGATAAGCAAGGTCTCTGAAGCAACAATAGTCATGGATGATTTTCTATTTAGGACCACAGCGCGAGTTTGCAGCAATGAAGCTCGACCAAGTTTTAGTCACAAGTATTCGACTTATCAAGTTCGGGACAAAATAATCAGGTCTATCTTATAATAAACTTACGCTGCAATACCTCATCTGGCGATCTTAGTTTGAGCTTGCAAATGTTGCATCCACACGTAATGTTACGTGAACTCTGAGCCAGCTTTTTCTCCATGTTGGTTCTATATGGGCTTCGTGTACCAGGTGGTGGCTTTTTACGTGACCTTCGACTTATAAGCCTTGTCAGTCGTCAACAAAAACGTTGAACATAGCAGATAATGATGCGGCAATGGCTTCCACAAGGCAGGGAGTACTGAAGCATCAATCGAGTACTAAAGTTTTGCGAATCGGGAAAATCTGTATCAAAGAATTATTGATTTTAGGGCATATGTTCTGATTAGGCTCACACGTTTGAGGTGAATCTAAGCTTTGCATTGGACGGCAATATTTGAGAGGCAGGTGCGGAAGCTGTGATGAAATCTTTCTTAGACGCATGCCAAGCGCTCTACAAGACCATCAGCAAGCCGGCGATAACCAGCACCCACTTGCCGGACCGGACGGCCTGGACACTGGCCGTTGGGACTTGTACGATCGCTGCGCCTGAAGCTGTACCTCTGTGCGTTGGTGGAGCTCTATTGCTGCCGTCAGAATCTTCTCCTTCTCCTCCTACCCTTCCTCCGCCTCCTTCGCCACTTTCACCACTTCCACCACCGCCTGAACTGCCGCTAGCAACTTTGGTTGATGCAGGGGAACTACCGGGGCTACCAACTTTACCGAGAGTTGCAGGCGACGCGGTAGCTGTGTTAAACAGCTGTGTTAAACATCCTGCAACAACGAAGTGGCCTTGAGACGGGAAAGGTTCACTTAACAATACCAGGAGACATTTCGGGCCTACTGGAAGGTACTGGCGCAAGACTTGATGTGAAGGCGTAATTATTTTCTGTATTAGAGTTTCCTGAGCTTTTATGAGGGCTTTCAGCTTACTGAACAGTCGACTGTTGATGATGCCAACGTTTCAATCTCAGTAGACAATGTTGCCGCCCAACATACCTACGTAAAACGATATGGCCACAAGCGCTACAAGTTTCATTTCGACCAAATATGTGGCAAGCTAAGAAAATAGTGAAAGGGATTAACAATCATGAATCGAGATGGTGATAAGTCGTCGTGTTCAAGATTGAGTTGAGGGGCAAAGGAAAACAATCACTCGCCAAAGGGGGTAGCTGAGGGGGAGGGGGGTGTTTCTGGGAAGCCACGAGACCCTTCGACTGTTCCCAATTCACAAGGTGAAATGATCAATCCTACGATTTCACGGTTTGGTGTCGTCTTTTAAGTGCCCATTATCAAGTGATTGTCCCATGGTTTGATTATAATACCTCAGTGTCATCAAGAGCGATGCGAGGTCACATGAATCCTGAGTTGCCGGAGTTATCAAGCCTAGCTATTAACTTGGCGATCTCTGCATACCGCCAGAAGAACAAAGAATCGGGGCAAATGAGGTCCGGTACGGATAATTGGCACTCTTAAGCTCGCATACGTGTCAAAAGCGCCTTGCGAGAGCTGACCATGAAAGTGCTGGGTTTGGATGGAAGGTGTATTACTTAGAGCAGGTCTTAGTTGTCTGAGGTAGTTGGAAAAAGTCTCTCGATTCAAAATTGTGTACAATAATCTAGCTGAAACTGCTCCAAGACATGGAAATATGGAAATATGCTGGTAGCGTGTGGGCTTTGGCTCACTTGACTTGATCCTGACAACTTCGAAGTTTCTTCACAAAGGCACATGCCTCTTCGCCTCTTTGTCTGCACATCTTTGGTCATCACATAATTCAGGCTCTGATCGCAGCTTCAGTCTAAGACATTTCATAGAAATTCTCAATGTGATGTGGGTAGCTTTGACAAGTTTCAACACATGAGCTGGGATCAAATGTAGCTTCTTGACTGCTACCAATCTTCCAGTCCGCTTAAGTTTGAAGGAAAGTGAAGACTCATTTTGGTTTGATATCTCTTACTTGGCATGTAGTCTTTGAGCTATTCTAAGTGCAGACATCCGTAATTTCTTCCAGCAATGAAAGCTGCGTCGACTGTGAAGGATCATAATGAAGAATCAGACACGAATGTAATGACCTACCGCCTTGTACCAAGCAATTTTGCCCAATGCATCTACCTAGCGTCAAAGCCAAGGAATCGGAATGTAGATTATGTATCTTAACCCCGAACATCACCAGATAGGCCTAACCCCTTTGACGCGCCTGGGGCTGGATCTAGGCAGGTAGGACATCATCACAACATAGCGCTCCCCAAGTGCCGGGCGATGTTTAGCGTTATAGATAATGTCTCAGTTCAGTCTCTATGCGGTGCTCTCGTATCACCACACGAAACCGACCGGTTTCTGAAGATGGTCTAGCTTGCTCATTCATTATGTCAGGCAAGTCACTTAGCCGGGCGCTATGTAACGGAAGTTAGGACAAAGGTCTGCTTGCCGAAATTGATCAGCCTTCGTATGGCATCTGGCCCGAAAATTGACTGATGTCTTTCCTTCTCAAACCTTATATGGTCGGGAGTCAGTATTGGACCATACCGTATAGCACAGCCACCACCACCTAGATGGGCGGACATCCGGATGCATTGCACCCACTATGATTATCGCCGCCCGTTGTCCCCTCTTCTTCTGATCTCGGGTCGCTACATCGGAATGCAGTCTCAACCAGAAAACGATCCAAACCTGCTTTGAATAAGCAATCATTTCTAATCCGGTTTGACATCGTCTAGTGTGACGGTCGAGTAATTCCGTGCACTACAGCTAATGAGATCTTAGTCAAGGCATGCCCTAGCCTAATCGTCTTTCTCCATGTTTCCATGCAGAAGCAAGATGTCCTTAGAACAGTTCGTAGACTTTTTTCCATTGGACGAAATAATATACATGCAGGTTACTGAAAACTTAATCGGCAAGAGGCGAGACCGGATCCATCCAACGTTCCGGCTTTGAGTTGAACTAATCCTCCTCTGAACGGCGTTCGTTTCTCGGTGGTCGACTTGTACCACAGCTCCTTTTCTTTTCCTGTCCAGAACTACTACTGGCTATCTGCTTACAGAAGATATTCTCATAATGTAAACAGGCGATATTGTCTCTTAGTATTATTGCTGCATCCGGTTCGAAGCAGATGGTTGGAAATGGCGGGGACAAGGTTCTTGGGGCTACGATAACAATTTTGATTACAGGTAGGTAGCTCAGGTTTATGGTAGTGTAGAAGTCACTCTGTCGATCAATTTGTTGGCTCAAATGGCAAAAGCACTTGACTTCAGAAACACGTATAGGTTTGGCGCTCTCCTAAGCGGGTTCAGCTTCAACGGCAATACGATGTCCACTTAGGAAATCGAGCACTCGAAATTTAAATACAGTCCTTGTTTTTCTATGTCAAAGCATCAGGGAATCATCGTCTCAAAAACTCACTTTTCTTCCTTGTTGTAGAACTCTGGGGACTTGGAGACCAAATTTGCTTTTTCGAACTGACTTTTCAGTCACAAGATAGGCAAGATGAAGTGGAAGATTCCGATTTCCTTCATCGTCTTTTGGACGAGGATTGTTGCCATTCCGGCGGGTAGTAACTCTCCCTGCCCAATAGATGCCAAAGTCGTGGTTGAACACCAACCTTTCGAAATCCAGTGTTCTGGGAATGTCGCGACTTCAACCAGGACCAGGTGAGCCTTTCTCAAAAGTTCAACATGGGCGCTTTTTGTTGACATCATCTAGGACGTGGACTGAGTGGCTAACCACCACCGATATTGTCATAGGCGGAACTATCACGTCAAAGACAACGGTAACTTTGACCGCCCCTGAAACCCTTGGTGTAGTTGTTTTTACGTCGACAGGCTCCAAGACGGGAGCCAAAACAATTCCGCCAAAACACCCGGGAGATCCAACTTCAGTTATCACCTATATAAAGCCTCCGAGGAGTTCTTTACCTACTGTCACTTCTCTCGCAAGTAAACCCGGGTTAACAACCGTCCCCCCGGGTCCGAATGGCGGTCCATCTACGGTAATTACATTCGTAACAGGTCCTATTACAGTGACCTCGTCTGCAAAAACAACTGGACTGAGTACCATTCCCGGATTTGATGGAAGACCCCCTACCGTGGTTACTTTTGTCACCACGCCGCTGTCTCCAGTGACCATCACTTCAATCGCATCGACAACTGGGCTCACAACTATTCCTCCTGGTCGCAACGGCGGCCCCCCTACGGTCGTCACTTTCATGACCCCTCAGTCTGGCCCAGTCACTATCACTTCTCTTGCTTCTACGACTGGTCTGATAACCGTTTCTCCCGGTCCCAATGGTGGTCCTCCGACGGTGGTTACTTTTGTCACTACGCCGCTGTCTCCAGTGACCATCACATCAGTCGCGTCGACAACTGGGCTCACAACCATTCCTCCCGGTCCCGATGGAGGTTCTCCGACGGTGGTCACCTTTGTGACCCATCAGTCTGGCCCAGTCACGATCACGTCGCTTGCTTCTACGACTGGTTTGACAACCATCCCCCCTGGTCCCAACGGAGGTTCTCCTACTGTCGTCACGTTCGTCACTTCGCTTCTCAACTCCCACAAGACAGTAACAATCACCTCTACCGCCCTCACTACTGGGTTGGTGACTCTTCCCCCGGGGCCTAAAGGAGGCCCTCTTACTGTTGTCACTTTCGCTCCAGAACCCCCGGGAACGGTGACCATAACATCTTTCGCATCTACCACTGGCCTGAGCACTCTTCAATCCGGTCCTGATAGTGGCCCGCCGACTGTGATTACCTTTGTTACCACACCTTTACCTCCAGTGACGATAATCTCACAAGCATCCACAACGGGGTTGACAACTCTTCTTCCGGGGCCTAACGGCGGTCCACCAACTGTCATTACCTTTGCAACGGGGCCTCCTCCAGTTACTGTTACGTCTACTGCATCTACTACTGGCCTCACAACGCTTCCCTTAGGGCCCAACGGGGGACCTGCTACGATAGTTACCTTCGTTACCGGTCCGCCGGCAGCCAAACTTCCTGTCACCTTGACATCTACCGCAAGCACTACCGGTCTCACTACTATTCCACCTGGACCAAATGGCGGAGCCCCTATAATTGTCACATTCGTGACGGGGCCTCAGCCTGTCACGTTGACCTCGACCGGCAGCGCGACCGGTCTTACGACGCTTTATCCGGGCCCAGACGGCGGTCCCACGACCGTCATCACCTTTGCTACCGGTCCTCTTCCAGTCACCTTGACATCATTTGGAAGCACAACTGGGCTGAGAACATTCCCTCCGGGGCCGGGTGGAGGCCCTCCTACCGTTGTTACCTATGCTATAACAACCGCGCCTGTGCCAGTCACAATTACGTCTACGGCCAGCACTACTGGGCTGACAACTCTTCCTGCTGGTCCAAACGGCGGCCCACCAACGGTGGTGACGTTTGCGACTGGTCCTCTTCCAGCCACCTTGACCTCATTCGGAAGTACAACCGGATTAACTACGCTACCTCCAGGCCCCAGTGGAGGCCCTCCCACAGTTGTTACTTTCGCTACAACTACCGCACCCATTCCAGTTACAGTCACTTCCACTGCGAGTACTACAGGTCTCACAACTCTTCCTTCAGGTCCCAACGGCGGTCCGCCAACAGTAGTGACGTTTATTACTGGCCCGCCTCCGGTTACCCTCACATCTTTCGGAAGCACAACTGGGTTGACTACATTCCCCCCGGGTCCAAACGGCGGTCCTCCTACTGTTGTCACCTTTGCTTCAAGCACTGCGCCTATTCCAATTACAATCACCTCAACCGCGAGTACTACGGGCCTTATCACTATTCCTGCGGGTCCGAACGGCGGCCCGCCCACCGTTATTACCTTCACCACCCTACCGCAGCTCACCGCGGTCACTCTAACTTCAACCGCAAGCACTACAGGGCTGACGACTGTTCCTCCTGGTCCTAATGGCGGACCGCCGACCGTCATCACCTTCGCCACGGGCCCAGCGCCCGTGACGCTTACTTCTATGGCCACTACAACTGGCTTGACTACGATTCTTGGTGGTCCTGGGGGCCCTGATACAGTTATCACGTTCATCACCAGCCCGCAACCAATCACCATCACGTCTACCGCCACCACTACTGGTCTCACAACGTTGTCGCCGGGTCCAAATGGTGGGCCGCCGACGGTTGTCACTTTCGCTACAGGCCCGGCACCAGTGACTATCACATCGACTGCTAGTACGACGGGCTTGACTACTATACCTGGAGGACCCGGCGGCCCCAACACAGTCATCACCTATGTGGCGAGTCTTCCACCGGTCACAATCACGTCTACCGCAACTACCACCGGCCTAACGACTGTGCCCGGGGGTCCTGGGGGTCCACCTACCGTTATCACCTTTGTTACCGGACCCTCTCCTATCACCGTGACTTCAATGGCGACGACGACTGGTCTAATAACGCTGCCGCCAGGCCCTAACGGTGGACCAAGTACAGTAGTGACTTTTGTCACTGGCATTCTCCCTGTAACAGTAACTTCAACGGCATCTACGACAGGTCTAACAACTATCCCGCCTGGTCTAAATGGAGGCCCTACTACGGTAGTCACGTTCGTGACAAGACCGGCCCCCGTCACTTTCACATCTACTGCCTCTACGACGGGCCTGACAACTCTTCCCATTGGCCCAGGTGGAGGTCCCGAAACAGTAATCACCTTCGTTACTGGAACTCCGCCTGTAACTCTTACTTCAACAGCAACTACCACGGGTCTCACAACGCTGCCGCCAGGCCCTAACGGCGGACCGACTACTATAATAACCTTTATCACCAGGGAACCAGTGACCGTCATTACCCTTACGACTAGCTTTAGGCCCATAGGAACAACCTTTACGACCAATCTTGTTCAGACGTTCCCTCCAACACCCGGCATTTCGGTAACCGGTGCCCCACCTTATTTGCTAACTCTCATCACTCGGACAGCGAGTACAACCGGCCTTACCACGCTTCCCTATTATATTGGCGACGGAGACGACTTTATATCGATAACAATAGTTACATTTGTTACTCCTCCAGCACCAATCACTGTCACCTCAACCGGAAGTTCAACTGGCCTGACTACAATTCCTCCCGGACCTGCAGGTGGCACGCCAACCGTAGTGACATTCGTAACTACAACTCCTCCAGTCACTATTACCTCAACAGGCAGCACTACAGGGTTGACAACCATTTCTCCCGGAACGGCCGGCGGACCTCCTACTGTGGTTACGTTCGTGCCTCGTATCGGGGTCGTCCGTACTCTGACATCTACCGCCAGTCAGACCGGAGTCACCACTCTGCCTCAAACAGATCCTGCTGGAACGACGACTGTGGTTACTTTCGTTCCGCCAGCCACAGGGCTTTTAACAACCTTAACGTCAACTGGCACGCAGACGGGCGTCACTACTTTGCCTCAAACAGATCCTGCTGGAACGACGACTGTGGTTACTTTCGTTCCGCCAGCCACAGGGCTTTTAACAACCTTAACTTCGACTGGTGCGCAAACAGGCGTCACTACTTTGCCTCAAACAGATCCTGCTGGAACGACGACTGTGGTTACTTTCGTCCAGCCAGCAACAGGATTCCTGACGACGCTAGTATCGACAGGTGCGCAGACGGGTGTTACTACCTTACCTCAGACCAACCCAACTGGCACGACTACGATAGTCAGCTTTATCCCTCCAGCCATTGGACTCCTCACGACAGTTGTGTCAACAGGCACGCAGACGGGAGTGACTACACTTCCCCAACCCGACCCAACGGGCGTCACTACGGTCATTAGCTTTGTACCTTCAGCCACCGGCTTTATTACGACAGTAGTTTCAACGGCCACTCAAATAGGCGTGACAACCCTACCTCAGCCTGATCCAACTGGAATTACCACAGTCGTCAGTTTCGTACCTCCAGCCACAGGCTTACTCACCACGCTGGTCTCTACCGCGACTCAGACGGGAGTGACTACGCTGCCTCAACCCGACCCAACGGGCGTCACTACGGTCATTAGCTTTGTACCTCCAGCCACCGGCTTTATTACAACGGTGGTTTCAACGGCTACTGAGACAGGCGTGACAACCTTACCACAGACTGATCCAACCGGAATCACCACAGTCGTTAGCTTCGTTCCTCCAGCCACAGGCTTTATTACCACAGTCGTTTCATCTGCAACTCAGTCCGGCGTCACGACCCTACCTCAAACCGACCCAACCGGAATTACCACTATTGTCACTTTTGTGCCACTTACCGGTGGCATTGCAACAGTTGTATCAACGGCAACTCAGACGGGTATCACGACGCTTCCCCAACCCGATCTAACGGGTATTACGACAGTTGTTAGCTTCGTTCCTCCAGCCACCGGTTTCATCACCACGGTCATTTCATCGGCAGCTCAGACGGGAGTTACGACATTGCCTCAGACCGACCCAACTGGTACTACCACAGTTGTCAGCTTTGTGCCACTGACCGGTGCCTTTACAACGCTTATATCAACGGCAACCGAAACGGGTGTGATCACTCTCCCACAGACTGACCCAGCTGGCATCACCACAGTTCTCAGCTTCGTGCCTCCCATCACCGGTGCCTTAACAACGGTTGTCTCTTCCGCAACTCAGTCTGGTGTCACAACCCTACCACAGACAGACCCTGCGGGCACGACTACCGTCGTTTCATTCGTTCCCATCACTGGCGCTCTCACAACAGTTGTCTCTTCCGCTACCCAAACGGGCGTCACAACTTTACCCCAAACCGATCCCGCCGGCACGACTACCGTCGTCACATTTGTTCCCATCACTGGCGCTCTCACAACGGTTGTGTCTTCAGCTACTCAAACCGGCGTCACAACCTTACCCCAAACCGATCCCGCCGGCACTACAACTGTCGTTTCATTTGTTCCCATAACTGGTGCCATTACAACTGTGGTCTCTTCCGCTACCCAAACGGGTGTCACGACCTTGCCTCAAACCGATCCTGCTGGCACGACTACTGTCGTCACGTTTGTTCCCATCACCGGCGCCCTGACAACCGTAACTTCAACAGCATCTCAAACTGGCATAACAACCCTTCCTCAGACCAACCCAGCTGGCACGACCACTATTGTCACTTATGTGACGCCGAGCCCGAGCTGCACCCCTGGATTGCTATGGGCGTACTATGGCTTGTCACAAGCTCCGACCGACACCGCCAGTCAGCCGGGCAAGATCCCGTTCCAGAATTCAGACGCAACCTCACAAGCAAACTGGAAGACAACTTACTTCAATATTCAAACCGTACTCAGCGGACAGAGTCCCAATAATAGGGGCTTAACGACCACAGTTGGTCTGTCATCGTCTTGTGGCACCTCGACCCGAAATGTTTATGGTACTACTGTATCAGAATCCAACTACATCATCGTGCAGCATATTGGCTATTTTCATCCTGCTACATCCGGAACCTACACTTTCAGCTTCAGCGGTGTGGACGACAGCGTCTATCTCTGGCTGGGCAGCAGCGTCGCCAAAAGTGGCTACAGTAATTCAAATTATAACAAAAATGTCAACTACTACGACACAAGCAGTTCGGGTACTTTTACATTTACTGCGACTGCTGGTCAATACTATCCGATTCGTATCTTGTTCGTCAACGCGCAGAACTGTGGCTTGTTCAATTTCTCGCTCACGAATCCCGCCGGCAGCGTTGTCGTTTCAAACTCCCAGTCTGTCGTTGGAGACCAGCTTGTGAGCAGCTGCCCGAACAATGCAGACGCCGCTCCCTTTAGTTTCTAGATAAGAAGCCTGTTTTTCTTTTGTCAGTACTAGTAATGCTTGTTCTTGTCTTCCTACCTACTCTCCTGTAACAATTCTTCTCCTTACACTTTATGTACTTTGTCGTCGAGTTTGATGGTTGCTATTGACCTGATGTTTAAGGTCCCGTAAAAAATGGATATTTTTCGTGTGCAAAGCTTCATGTTACAAGTCATTCTAGACAGCAAGAAAAAACCGAACTCGAGTATTGATATTAGTACAAAACAAAGCACACGGCTAAATACAATGACACTCCTCTACCTAAAGTACACTGTAAAATACGCGAGACTCTACATATATAGCGAAATACGTGGTGACAGTCACTGTCAGATTTTTGGACACAAATCTCAATCCACAGTCTTTGCGAAACGGAACAAATGCTATCATAAGCTTCAAGGCTCCTGCAGACGCGTACCGCAGACAAGCCCCACGACGCCCGACTCATCGCTTGTTGCTCTCAGACTTGAAGGGAAAACTGTGTCAGGATGATGAGAAGATATGAATGCTCGCATGATTAAAAAGCATGGTATCGCTGACTAAATCATGCCCCAAAAATAACAACAGCAGTGAATAAGAGCAATGAAATTGAAATTGTTCTGAACTCACTGACTGACATAGTACTCAAGGCTTGGTGCAGTGACATTTGGTGAAATAAGTCCTACTCGTCGGAGTTCATTGACCCAGAGATGCTGACTTGCGTTCCAGCCATACTTTTATCTTTCAACGGTCGCGACCGAAATTACTTCACATGAAATTGCCAGCCTGCGATGGAATTTGAGAGACGCAATCATAATGGACTGAGCTAGGCGGTTTTACTACATTTCTGTGACTTTCAAAGTGCAGAAAGCCATCCACTCCCATGTACGGCAGGATTACTGACAGCATGACTAATAAACCGCTCGGTATGACAGATAGCAGATAGCCTTTGGGGAGTCCCCAAGATGGCTTAAAATTTCTTGGAATTGCTATTAAACTTCCGCAAAGATCTTCCTCATGATCGAGTCCAATGTTAGGTACCCACGTCACCTTTATATCGACATAGCTGAATCTTTCTTCTATCCTTATCCGCACATTGTGTGAAGCTAAGACGGATACGAGACGCAAACAAACGTGAATGTTTCAGAAAATGCTTTAACAACCCAACCCAACCCCCCCCAACCCCCATTACGGAGAGTGTATCCATCAGCAAAACGAGTCTTGGCCTCCAGGCTCAGGCCGCAGTCCTTTGTGGCATAAACAGTGTAAGGACTTTTGCGCTAGTTAGGATCTTAGATGATTACAGACAACTGGAAAGAAACACAACCACTTCCAACCATAGCCTGATAGACATTGAGAAGCTCGACTCTGCAGCCGACAGCGGCCATAGCAATGCCGGCGTGAGATGCCAAAAGGCAAGTAACGGCGGAAGCCTTCATAACTTTGACATGCCAGCCGCCATCCCATTTGATCGCCTTTTCTTCTGCCAAGAAGCACTCTCTTATTTGCTGATATTGTTTATTCGAACTTCCTTGGCAATGTTCGAGAAGGCGGGGTTCTGTGCAAGGCTCCTTTCTCAAATACTCCAAGAGGCCATTGAAAACAGTAAGCCGAATGTGATTAGGATGAGAAAGAGTAGAGGAGACTTATTCCAACATTCGGGAAGATTAACTTTATATACGTCAGCGACCATAGGCCTCGAGTCAGTTTCATAGCAATCCGCAGCTATCAGACATAAGGGCGAGCCCCCTCCTCGAGGCCTTGGAGGCAAACGCAATGCCGGCTCTTCCCCATTGAGATCGAATGATCTGACAACCGCATGGAAGATAACTAAGGAGTCCGAAAGCCTAAGCTTGACTAACTCTGGCGGGAATCAAATACAAGAACCATGGCAAAGCGGTCAATGGGCTCAGCAGCCAGCTAATGTATGAGATCTTAGCTGGTGGGACTTGAAAATGCGTAGGTCCTAAGATTATCATGTGCACTTTATGTTATACTTAAGGATTTAGGACAAAGTAGGGCTTTCAAGGTTTGGAACTTTGCTCAGAGGGGCCCAGGGAGGGGAAGCCTCCAGTCTGGCGTTTTGTTGACTCATTGAACAAACGGTACAAGTATGCCCCTTTTTCCTCTTGATTTTGTAGAGATCAACTCCTGATGTGTTTTGTCCACTGGCGCTCCTTTTACTACAGCTAGTTTACCTATAGAAAACGAATCGCTCAATCTGGCCACAAATACAACGATCGATGTAAATCTGTGGCAGGGCTACCAGCTAAAAGAGAATAGTTTCGGTGACTAAAGTTGGATTTAACTTAATATATACTTTAGAAAGCAATATACCCTGTTTATCTACTGCTAAATAGTCTTCGCAGTAATCGAGTATGATAACTTGCCTTCGGCTTTGGAATTAGTCCTAGCCCAAGTACCAAAAATTCCCTAGCCCCTTGGCCAGACAAGCCTAAGCCCACAGACTTGAGGAATTGACGAAGTCAATGCTACTGACATAAGAAGCGATGTCAAGACAACGTACGTGCGCAGCTGTCTAACTTCCACATAATGCGCTGCCGAAGGGTGATCCTCGAGTCAGAAGCTATCATTGCAGGAGCTTCCACAACCGTAATTCTTGAATTCGGTGGGAGCCTTCTTTTCCAAGAATTTAGTCCAGGCCGTGTAGTCTCCTTTGCTACTTGTGCACCTTCGTCTTTGGTACCCCTTTTGGCTCAACATCTGCTGTTGGCTCCAAATGACATGGCACCCTTGATCGTTCCAGGTACACGCAGTCAAAGAGGTCGATCCGCTGCAAGTCTGCGTCTGATGGCCGACGCTGATACTGGCAGTCACGAACTCGGCCGTGATTCCAGCCGAAACTTCGAAAGAAGTAGTCTCGCAGACCTGGTTGTTGACGCCCTGTGTTGCCTGGCACGACTGGCTCTTGGTGCAGTAAACTTTGCTGGAGGCCTGGCGCCAAGGGTCGTTGTAAAGGTTCTGTTCGACAACGAAATAATCGTTCCAGCACTTGACACCCGAGGCGTACTGATGATTGCCGTCAGAACCTAGGTAACGGCCTTCGCCGTCGTTGTAGCGAGCCAGGAGCACGCCTCGTTTACCGATATCCGTATGGTTCGGCTGAAGGGTAATGTCGTAGGTTTCAGCATATGCGATCTCTCCTGCGATCCAATCAGGCTGTCTATCCCGTGACACCAGAGGTGATGCCAAAGAGACAGTCGAGAGCAGGAGAGGTAAGATCAGAGAGGCCTGCATGATAGAGGATTGAGAGGCCGAGCTTGTATGGCGTCGTGTCAACGGATTGTATTCAACGAAGTAGGATGGATATGGACCGAAATAATCATGACCCTGATCAGACTTAAGACTTTATTTATGTACCCAAGAATGGAGGGAGTGTATCTGATAGCTGTTCTCACCATCGCCTCGGTATGCTATACTCGGGGATTTGTTGTGCCGCCTCAGCTTCTCCTATATTCGGCATAAGTCCGTAATATGCGAAATGGAGCTTCTGTCTGCGCGCGACTCAAAACCCATGTCATAAAGTACAACAGAGCTTGAGCAGCAATTTAAGGGAACCTTGTGTTCTTTAGGCAAGAAAGGCGCTGATTCTCGCATAGACATGGAGCCACTTGAAGATCTCATCATGCTGCAAAAATATCAACCATGACCGTTTTTCTATCCATCTCTTCATCAGAATATCTCCATTCATCCCACCAAAGTGTAAGCAATGGTCACAGGTGCTGGAGTATAAATCTGCAGTATTTGTGGTGTGCTAGATCTTTTTAAAACAAGACTCGAAGCAAACTTTCTAGCCCCAAATTCTTGTAGTGACGAAAAGCATAGTCAACGTTTGTATCTTTGGCTTGGGAAGTCCCATCATAGTCGGCGAGGGCCGCGACGGGAAATCCTAACCCTCCCTCTGAGCTTCACTGATGTACCAAAGTGCCATCCATACCTAGCAGAGAACAGGATGAGTTGATCGCAATCTAAGATATCGCGCGTGGAAGAAATCATCTAGAAAACTGGCAAAGGTCATGACTTCCTTCAAAAGGGGGCCCATCGGTTACTAACCGTGGTGAATGGTATGGAAAGCATAGACTCAGCCCTCGTGTAGCTTGCTATTGCCAGGGGGCAAATTCACTCCAACGTTCGCAAAAACATACTATATCATCTGATCTAATTCACAAGCTGCCGCAACTTAGAAAATGCGTCTGCCTTGCTTCTTCGATCTTATCATCTTATTCCCGCAATCAAGTTGTCCTTAGTGCGAAACCCAGATGCAGTCGGGGGCTTCCGAGTTTGGCAGAACGCACAGAAATAGGGGTCACACCAATCTAAGGGAGTGCAGGTTAAAGGAAGGATGTAGACTCATATTGGACACTGTATGGTCGATCCAGCGTGGCAAAGATGGCAAGATACGCAGTAACAGGCATCGGTGGGGACTTCTTTGTCATTTGAATCGTTGTTATAAAACCATTTTGATTAAAGCACTTATTTTAAGGTATCATTCAAATCAAACAACTAACTATCAACCACGAGGACATTAGCGTCATATCTAGCCTGCTGCCAACTCCCCAACCCAAGATAACAATGGTACATTACACCAGCCAACAAATCAATAAGTCATCATACGACAGACTACCAGTATAGATTTAGGCCACTTTCCAAGTGTCAGCTCATTGTCGACTCTTCGTGTCTCGTAACTGATGTCTACCGAAGCTCCTGCGGGGGATAGGTGTAAGTCTGCCCTTGAGGGGGTGGGGAATGCGTCGGCGAAACTGTGCCGTTAACAGGCGAAGGGGTATATGACTGAGGAGGGTACTGCTGCGGATGTTGCTGATAGTCGTGCGGCGGCTGTGTGTAGTTCTGGGCCGGAGGAGCCTGCTGATACTGTTGTTGCTGGGGTTGCTGGCTCGGCATCTCCTGGTACTGCTGAGGTGGTTGATGCTGGTACTGTTGAGGAGGAGCCTGCGGCTGAGGCGTGTAGGACTGAGGCGGGTAGAATTGCTGCTGTTGCTGCTGCTGCTGGGGAACCTGGCCGTTCTGCGACTGCTGGTACGCAGTCTGCTGCGTGAGGAACGGCTGCTTGGACTCCATCTGAATCTCTCCCTGACTGGCGCTTGCAGCAGCGGCAGGTGCGTTGGCTTTTCTCCAGCGCAAGAACTGAACAAGAGTCCAGATGAAGGTCACCAAGAAGAGGATGAACTGCAGGGCAGATAATCCTGCAATAGCAGAAAACATGGCCAACGCGCCCTGGCTCATAACGATGTATCGCTTGTAGATGGTGCAGCTTCCCGAGTTCACAGCAGAGCCATCCGAGGTACAGGAGGCTGTCACGTCAACGGTGAAGGTAGCACGACGGGCGGCGCAGGCACCCATCGTTGCGAGCCAAAGGATGACAAGGAAGAGATCCAGAGCGAGGACGGCATAGGTATGGTAGAGGTTGCGGAGGGAAGAAATCTTTTCGGAGAGGACAGTGTAAAGTACGATGATCCACGTGAAGAGAGGCTGATTGGGTATGTCAGTCGATGGATCTGGGAACTAAGTCAACATACCCACTTCCTGGCACCCCCCTGTTTCTGGCACCCACAAAAACGCGAAAATCCACCACAACCCAATGCCCACCCCCAACCTCCTTTTATCACAACATTTTCAATTCGCGTCCAAATGGGCTCATCTTTTGCACATGTCTTCTTCTATATATAATGCCTCAATATACCGAAGATCAGCTTCGTCAGGCTCTCGAGGA